CTTCCCTTCCCTTCCCTTCCCTTCCCTTCCCTTCCCTTCCCTTCCCTCCCTCCCTCTATCGCCATCTCAAGGTGAGATTGCCTCCACAATCAGTGGCAAGATCTTGCCCTCCCTAGGTCAACAGCCAGCCTCATCCGGCTTCAGCTGCTCGGTGCTCCGCAAGCGTTCAGAGAAGAGCTGCGTGCTGGGCCGGCGTAGCCTGAAACAGAACATCGACTGCCTCAACCAGAGGCTTTTGGGGAAAGAATCAGCATGCCCCCAACACCAAGGACCACACTGGCCACAAGATTCAACGTGGCTTGGGGTTGTACCTCAAGTTGCTGGATTGATATGACTCCATCAAAGTTTTAATCTCATGTCAAGGGCGTGATGAAAATATCAACATCCTAGAAACTTCCCACTGACCAAACAATATTGAATGGCAAAAAGCTTCCCACATGTCAGCTCTTTTTCTGTCAGCAACCCCTGTGCACCCACAGCACATGGAAAAGGCCTTGACATCCCCTAGCCAGGTCTCAGCCAGGTCTTGGTCTATGGTCTCACCGGTCATTCGAGTTGCAAACATCTTTCCGGAATGAGCCTCTCCAGGGTGGTCCTCAAAGACTCTTCCCATGTTCTCCTCTGCTCTTCCACCAACCTCAGAGGATGATCCTAGTGGCTTTTTGTTACTAGAAGCGATGCCCTTTGCTCCTAGTAGCGTCCTTGCCTAGCCTAGTAGTACGGCCAGGAGCCCCTATTAGCGTCCTTCCTCCTAGTAGCGATGCAACATAGACCTGACAGAGTTTCATGTGGGTCATGTTATGTCATGTTTGTTGGGCAACCTGAGGGGAAGCGTCCCACTGGCTCCGCGGAGATCTGCTCACATCGTGCCCTGCAGCGGTTCTTCATGGATGCCCCTAAGGTATGCTCATGCCAAGATGCCAAACACCAACACACACATACAACATCAACGCCCTAAAGATTTGGCCACCAATATATAATTGGGCACATCTTACATCCATCATCTTGCTAGAGGCCCAACACATGACCTTAAGCCTTAAACACTCTCTTCGTGGAGGGTGCCAAAAGACTGCAGGAGCTCTTGATGAACTTCGTCCACAGCAGCCAGGACGGGGGACATGGGATCCTCGCAGCCTGTGGTGAGGCCGGGAAGGACCCATGCGCTTCGTTTCGTTTGGGAAGGACTCATGCTCAAGCATCATCCTCAACATTCATAGAACTGTCCTGATCATGTCCTGTACATTTTCCAGTATGAGCATCCAATCAAACAGAACACACACACAAATTGCAGGTGTAGAATTGTACAGTTCATGGTTTCATGTATCCTTCCTCAGTCGCCCTCAGTATGCTAGCATGCCTACTGTAGAGTGTATGAAGGCACGACGAGGCTGGACAACAAAGAAACATGTTCTACTAAAGCTTGAAGCCGTACAGTAGCACCTGTGCCGGTCACCATAGGCTTGTGACAAGTCGGTCACGACCCACAGTCAAAACTGAAACAAACAATGGATACACAAGTCCAAAGCAACAAAACACAGCGACAGTTCTCTGAGTGTTTGATGTTCAGATCTTAGACACCATCCTTCTCCAACCAGAAAACACTCCTGCCTTGGGCGGACTGCATCTTCTTCGTGGTTGTTGGATCCAAAGCCGGGGCAAAAGTGCAAAATTGAAGAAACACCTGCTCAAATATAAACTTAAATTTTGGTGCACACCCTCGTGTGCCAGTGAGAACTCATGCTCGCATCTAGAACCCCCAGTATAGCAAGCGATATGCTTTTTGCGTTTGGCAGGGCTGATCAAAGAAAAGGGCTGCGACAAAGTATTATTTGCACAAATTGCATACAATATTGCGAAAGTGCTGGGCAATCACACGAAGATGTGACCTTCAGTCTTCAACCTGGAGCATCTAAACATTGGACTTGACTATATAAGTACCTCCAGGAGAACTCTCCGTGCCCCTTTCGTGCCCACTCTTACTGAGTGAGAATGGACACATATGACCTTTGGCCGTTACTGAGAAACACTCAGCAGTCAAACACACCAAACATGATTGTGAATCTATATATTATATATGTGACACATCGGGATTTTCCCTCATAAACAATGCCACGGAAACATGTGCCCATCTAGGCCACATTGTACATTATTATACAAATAGCAACTTGCAAACCTTCGTCGCGCTTGACATGATAGGTCCAAAAAAACAAACAGTGAAGCCATCCTTCCGCACAACAACAAGAAAGAACTTGACACTTGAAACTGTCAGAGTGATTCATTTTTTGTAGGCAAGGCAGGTCATCCATTTCTTAGACTTGCCACAGCGAGCGCACTTTTCACCATGCATCTTCGCAAGTGACACAAGCAGAGTCAATTGTGGAACTTCTTCAGGAAGTTCTGCGTGCCCCCTCTTATGATCCTTTGGTGTGAGTGGGTGTGGCATTTTCGTGAAGGAGGCTTTGTCCCCTAAAGAGTCTAGAAAGGGCAATGCGAGCGGATAATCGTGGTTTCCACGAAAACCCTAGCGGAAACAGCCAGCAATCCGTTCTAGACCCAAACATACACATGCGAGAAACCAAAGCTCAAAACATCCTTAAGGGCCTTGCCACACGTCAGGCATTCAACAGATGTTGTCCGATTGCCGTGCCAATCCTCTCTCAAATCTCAAGGGTCTCATTTGGTTCTGCCAAGCAAGCCCTTGATCCACAGCCTAGCAGCTGATTCAAACACTATACAATTATTGGAGTTATTGCAGGCTGCAGCTGATATCAACACTATTTAAGGCTCCAACCTCCCAGCCCCAACACACGTCTTGGAAACATCTTGCATGTCTCAACCAAAGGGACCTCAAAATACCTCGTCAAATCAAGAAGGAACCTCCATGGGTCAGAATTTCTTTGCCTTTTGCCAAAATGCCAAGACAACGTGTTCCCATGCATGACAAAATGGTCCCCCGGAACTTGTCCAATATTTCTCAGCCTCCCACCGGTCAGAGTTAGAGTCGAGTCTGTGATCCATGCTCCTATGATACGCCATGCTTTGGGGGGGTTGAACCAGCTGGAGTGCTGAAAAGTCATGTCCTGCATCCTCTTTGAAGAGCAAGGGAACGAAAAGAGTTAGCGCACAGGTCAACGGCATTCAGTGCGCAACCCCTGGAAAAAAACGGTCAAACACCCGAATGCAGGTCTTCGTCGTTGTTCATCGTGACCCCTCCCTACCCGCTTTTGAGCACTTGGATGGGTGACTTGTGACTCTGACAGCCTGTGACCTGCATGGCCCCGGGCCACGGCACCATTGAACGGTTTCTTCTCCTAAGCTTTGAACTTTGATGGTCGTCATTAGTCATTGGCTCCTTCCAAAGTTTCTTAACGACACAGTGCTCTTCGGGTTGGGGACTTTCTGCGAAACGCTGGCAGAATTGAAGGCCGCTTTCGAGCCAATGCCCGGGCTCTTCGACCCTCAGCGGAGTCCCATAGATTGTAGTGTCATCGAAGCATCAATTCGGAAGATCTCGCGCGGGATAGGCGATGGATTCAGGTCGAAAATATCTTTCATACTCTCCCCCCTCTTCCTCTCTTGTCTGAGAATAGGTGGTTCAGATCTAGGAAATCTAGGGTGATGCTCCCTGATGTTCTTGGACAATTTAAAGTAGGTGCGATGCACCGCCTGTATCAACATCTGTACTTGCTGCGCTTGGCAACCCATTGGAACGACTGATTGGAGACTCTGGTGGGGCTTCAGTTGTGGATGGATACCCTCAACGGTTGCTAATGTGGTCCATTGTCTTGACTAAGTACTAGGCTGATCTAGGCTGCAAATTCGTGCTAACTATATATATATATATATAGCGTCACAAAAACAACACATTGCAAACAATAAGTGTATACAGTACAGTATGTATATATGCTTGATATAAATATATTTCCTTGAAAGTTGCTATCGTCAACACGTGGACGTAGGACGTAGCGAGGGGTGTGTGAGCGGCACTGCCTAACACCTGAAGCACCTACAAAATAAACATGCAAAACAAACCCTCCACTGCTGGAAGCCCACCCGCGGCCAGATGTGCCTTGAGATTCTCTGCTTGTTTTCGATGGTTTCCACTGCTCGTCGACGTCTTGACCGGAGACTTCCGAATCTCTTTGTGGAGCTTTGCAATCCTCCTGTCCATTGGCGTTGCTGTGCCTCTTTTGCTATCGAGTTAGTTGGATTTGGGGAGTGTTTTGAGGCACTTGCAGAATTGTCCACTAGTCACACTAGTCACTAGCATTGAACATTACACCTAAGAGAGCCCTTCACAAAGTTGCTCTTTCAGGTTTGACAGCTGCCGGATGTTGCCATCCACGGTCCATTCTACTAACGAGTCCAACAAGGTGGCTAGCAAAACCCAACTGTTGCCCAGTCATTGCAGCACCAAAAAACGACCCCGACAACCCAAAGGTGCATGGCACTGCATGTATGTCATGTTGAGTCTCTGGTCTTGCAGGTTCACGTCAGCCCTGATTACTGTCTTCCAGCTTAATTACATACGAAGTGCCATTACAACTTGCAACAGTCTTGAACTCCGCTTTCATGTAGCTCGCCCAGGCATGGATCTAGAAATCTCTCAAAAGAAACCTCTCCACGTTTCCTCTCCTGCTCAGCTGTTTTAAGTCCGCGTGCATAGCCACCTGGGACTTTGACTGAGTTCCCGGGGCCGGAAAACACATTCAAGTGCAAATGTGTTCGATAATATATGGGCCTCGACAAATGACGCCAAACTAAATTACCAAGCTTTGGAAACCGCTGCGTGTTTGTAGAAATTCTGCATGTGAACCCATGGAAACGCACCTCAAGGTATGGTCGGGTGGTTTTGAACACCGACGTAGACCAACTACGTCTCCACCATGCGGCTCCCAATGGTTGGTTCGAGCACCCGGGTTTCTAAATTGTAGGGCGGTCAGTTGCGATATGTTAGCAAGGTTGGTCTTCAACCAGCACCGTTCACAATGGACACGCTCTATCCCCCAGGTGCCTGGTCAATGGCTCTTGCGTGGCCTTTGCATCGCATAATGCCATCTATGAACTCGTCCAAAGTTACCTCGAAACGCAGTAGCCCTTCGGGCCAACTGTCACGGCACATTGCCCCTGCAAAAACTAGGCCAGCTGTCCGTAAGAAACACTTGTTTGCGAAACATGCACGGTTTCAGGAAGTCCGCGCCCGCAGTGTGAGGGGGCATTCTGTTATAGGTGTTCTTGTTGTTACCATTATCTATTGGAACGTGCTAGCGTGGAAACAGCCCTCCACGCCTCACCGTCCCCGTTGTCCAGCAAGTGGAACAAAGCCCGGCCTGCTTTCGCATTCTCTCATGTGTGGGCCCCCCCAGCCCACCTCAAACATGTTGCCGGTTCCACCATGAAACGCTGAGTTCAAATATGCGACCCTACAACGTCTGACCTCACCAAACAAAGAGCAAAAAGGCCTAGAGTTAGGAAAAAAAGGCGGTGTGCCACTGTGAAAGCAATCTTTTCCAAACAAGAACGGGAACATATCGACGGCAGCTTGACGCCCTCTTTTTTTCTTATAAATTCAGAAAAATCAAATGATGCATGCGCTCATTGCAAGTACGGAGGGGCCATGGGAGCGACCATCTCTCTCTTGCTTTTTCGGGCGTTGTGCTTGTTCAAGCAAGATGCTCAGCTGACGGCAACATTCTGTAATTATGTGTCCTTTAAGGCGTCATGACTCATGATGAGCCAGAAGGCGTCTTGCAACTAGGAGCCAGAAGGCATCCTGCAAGCACACCAGCACTCACAGAAATACACACAGTTCCTCACATGTTCAAAGCCAAAGGCCACTTCGATGGCGCTGTTTCATCCCAAGCCATCACAGATTGCCAGGCTTGCTCCACATGGATCTTGGGAATGATTTTCTGGGGACTGGCCATGCTTGCACGTTACCGCTGCTGGTGTCAGAGCCAAAACCGGAAGAAGGCCTTGCAGTAGCCATGGCTGCAGAGCAGGGCTTTTAAAAGCAGAGCTCCGCTGAGCTGACCAAATTATGACCTGTTCTCAAAAACATTGCGTGTGGGCCATAGTCATGTCACCGTGCAATGAAAGTCAACATTCACAACAAGGGCCTGTCGACAGCCAAACGTTGGTCTTTTTAAACACATGCCCCAATCAGCCTGGCGACTTCTTTTTGCTCCTCATCGGGCCCTTCCACTCCATTGACTGATGACAGGTTTGAATTTAAGGAGTGCATATCAAGCTTGAAGCCAACCGCGTCCTGCATTGTGATTTACACACCACTTCTGCTTCCAGACTTCCAGAATTAGATTTCTGAGCAGGGGTTGCTTGACCAAAATGGTAGTGTGACAGGGGCGCTGGGGCAAGAATTTGCATACTTCTGAGTCTTAATTATATATATTATATAATATGAAACAGTGTGACAACCGTCCTCCCCCCACAAGAAATGCTACTTGGCAACCCCTATTGATGCCGAAGGCGTCACAGGGGACGGATCCGCCGCTTGCTGCTGGCAAAGGAAGCCACATTAAAGTACTCATCGACCTCAGGTTTGGTCCATCCAGTGGCAAGCAAATAAATAATCACGGCAGCCGTCTTTCTTGCTGCACGTTCTGTGAATTGCTTTTCGAGCTTGGGCGCAAGTGAGAGTGTGAACTCTCCCAGATCCCCAGAGGCTACAGCAGATGTTGGTGGATGCACGCCCCGCCCCGCCAGTTGCAGCACCGGCGGTTGGGGCGAGTCGAGCTGAGGCTTGGCGATCAGGCGAAGTAGTCACCCTGACTGGAGGTGAAGTCATCCACGGAACTTTGGTTTGAAGCTGGAAGGAACCACGCATTTTGCAATTCGCCGAATGTTGCGGGCTGACATTGAGGCAGCAGGAAAGAAGCTTCTTCTGATGCGAGACTCCTTGGAAGCAGTTTTCAAGGCATTGTGTGAGAGACGAGCGACCTTAGAGGGATGTCTCAAAGGAACTTGCAGAGGACGAGTTCAGAAATTAGGGCGTTCCTGGTCCGAGAACAGCTGCTTGGCGCACCAGGTTTTTGAACCGTCGCAATGGTGGCCCCAATCACCATCACAGGTGGTGGGTGAACAACCACAACTTGAAGAATGACTCCTGGCAATTGAGCGAGCATGAGCATCTCATGCTGGACACACTTAGCCGTTTTGATGGGCTGGACCTCTCGAACCTTGCTGGTGCTGAACTTGCTTTCCGAAGACTACAGTTGACCGAGCACGATGACAGCGTTCGTGGACCAGGAAGCGGAAGCAAGGATGCTAGGAAAGGGGGCAAGAAAAAGGAAGATGACCCTATTTACAAAATGGAGTCAACCATGCCCCGATCAGACCTGTGGCCCTAAGCATTCCTTTCCTTTGTCTTGTTCTCTTTAGCCCCTTGTCAAATCTGCCCCACAAACCCCATCAAGATGAAACATGACCTTTGGCCAGGTCTTTAGTCAAACTGCTTGGCACAGGTGGGGTGGGTTCTGGACATGGCCCACCAGACGCTGGACAGCAAACTTTTGGAGAAGTCATTATCATTAGGCTTTCGGACGATGCTGCGGACACCTCCCCACATTTGCGAACCAAAAGCCTTGGTTTCAAAGGTGGCGCGCCAATGGGACAACCGCCCCTTGAAAACAGCGCAGTGCAACAACAACCACAACTCAGAGTACAGGCTGTGGCGAGTTGTGACTTAGCCCCATGTAATAGAAGAGCGTGGGTTGCCTAGAAACATCTAGATCCATAGCTTTCCCCAATGGCACACCGGCTTTCGATATCAGTATCATTGCCATCATTTGTACAAACTTGACACACAAGCAGCACAGAGTTCGCAACGACTTTTGAACAACATCAAATCCCAGCTTGAGATCATGCAATTGCAATGACTTTCCCGTTTGGGAGTAGATAAAGCGCACATTCAGTAAGTTGTCGTTTCCCTTCTGTTCCTTACTATGCCGGAACTGAATGGCACTCTTGCCAGCGAAAGCAACAAAAAAAACGACTGGAGTGGCCTTTGGACAGCGATGCAAGCTTTCGGACAAACCCAATTTGGCTTGTGACACAGGAACTTCGCAATATTGAATGACTTTCACTTTTAGACCTCGAACCATAGCTTCCACGTCACCTGGCTTGATGGGACAACAGGAGGGTCGGCTCTACACAACTCTACGGCATCTAATTTAGATATAGACTGGTCAATTTGGCATGTTGGGTTTAACAGCGTCACAGCCGTGTAACAGCCTCTCCCGCAACCCCCAGGCAACACCGCTGAGATCTTGAGAAACCGCTCGACGACCTCCGGCGGCAGAAAATGTGCCTTCATGCACGTCAAGGTCCAAGGTCTGAAAGTAGGCCGCCACCTGAGATAAAAGATCCGTGGCCGGAAAGAACATGACAAGAACATAAGCAACTCCATGATTTCTGAGTGTTTATGGTGTTTTTAAAGATGGGGACCCCCAGCCAGCCCTCGTAATGCATGCACCCCTGCGCTGCTGCTCAAACTTTGCAATTATTTTGGATGTTTTATGATGTTTTCTTGGCTGCATGTGTCGTAGTCAATGGTCATTGTTATACAATACTTGCAGCGCACAAAGTCGTCATGGCTATGCGGCTGTGTGATAACCACCACATTTGCATGCCTTGAGATGCCTTGAGTCTTGAGTGTGCAAAGCTTTTGTGCTCGAGTTGTGGCCCCTAACGCATGTCTTTCGTGTGACTCCGAGCGCTCCCTACTTCTACTCTGTCCGTGAAACATGCAAAAAATGCAGCACACCCGACGAAAACACTCAGTCACCCCGACTGGTCGACTGGTCCAAATTAGTGGAGACTGAGACTCTTTGGGATTGGCCAAGATCTGCATCAACCGCTCCTCTGTGACCACGCCATCCCCTTGCACATCGATTGCCCGGAAGATCCTCGGCTGGGCGTCTTCGAGATCTGGATGGTTGGTGGTAAGAGAGTCTAAGCATGAAGCGGTGAGATAAAGCGCAAGTCTTCATGATCAAATGAATTCACAAGATGTTGCAGTTTAAACTTTAGGGTTGCTCAAAGGTTATCAACGAGTACCTTGGATTCTTGTGCCATCCACATCCCCATGGGCTGATTGAAGCTCCTGAACATGCGAAACATCCAGTGCAAACGTTGGCCTGGCTATCAAAGACCTCGAGGGGAAAGGATGAATTTGGAAGGATTCATTGCACCTACCTACCCATTTCAAGGTGCCCTGGTGTAGTGTCAGTAGGGATGGTCTGTAGTGGCAACATCGGGTCGGCACAGTGAGTCCTGATGGGGCCCATTCGAGACCACCCAAAAGAGTGCTGGCCACTTGAAAAGGACTTAAAAGTGTCCAATAAACCTCTGAGGAAAGAAACTATATAATAATGCATATGTGTTCAGGACTCGTGTGCGATGTAGAACTCGTGGTGTGGCCCAACCAAATTACAAATACTGTACTTTTGTTTTACTGACGGGTGTAATTTGCCGACACCACTGTGTGACCGTGTGAGTTCCCCCCAGCTCTTAAAGCTGAATAGAATACGGATAGTACGAACACGGCGCACACATACCACAAAACACACCTAAAATAAGTTGACGGGGATAAAATTCAGTTGAGCTGATGTCAGTTTTGTCGAGTTTTGTGGCACTCGAGTTTGGCGAGTTTGGCGAGGACAGTCCACGTGAGTGCGTCTCAAACCCTCTCCCACACTACATCTCCTGAAGTTCACACAAGCCAAAATGCTCATCCTGATGCATCTCAAATCCTGTGCATGCTTCGGTCTGGTTCGATCCCCGATCGTGCGTAAACCATGCTCCAACGGTTCCAACTCAGTCTACCTCCACTAACCTCTCCACCAGCGCCACCAACCTTCACCAAGGGTCCGCTCGAGTTTGGCAATGTATTGGGACTTGAGCCTCAGCTTGTCCACCACCAGCTGTTCCGCATCGTTTTGCGCCGCATCGAAAGTATCCTTCCTTGGGTGTGGGTTCCAGAAAGGGCCAGCTGAAACTGGAAAACTGTAAAGTGGTCCAAGAATCCAAAGCAAACAGGCTGCGAACCCACAAACATCTTAAGAACTGACGTTTGTTCAGGTCTGTTCAGCGTGTTCCACGCAAATTCACAAAACTGAAACCCATCATCCTATTTTCAAACTGCATAGTTCCGTTTGCGTTCGTGCAAACGCCAACTCCCCTCAAACATCGGTCATAATAGAAGAAACAAGGCTACTGCAGCTGGAGCCAGTTGGATTTTCATGCGTTGCTGAGCGGCTGCACGCATCCGAATTGGATCTGGCCACGCATGTGTCTAGTCTATATAGCTGCTAGCTAGCAAACTTGCAAGAAAACATCCCACTTGCAGAACTCATCCCACGTCCCTTCTGTCCCAACCGGCTGTCCAAAAGCGTCCGGAAACGTTCCCTCTCATTGTGAGGAAAACTGTTTGGTGGCCATGCCACAGGAAGACAGCACTGATGACCCGGATGACTGCAAAAACCACCTGAACGGCGGTAAAACTGGCAGAATCGAAACTGCAGGGCTCACATAACAAAACATCCAACACAGGAATTAAAGACTGCTGAGCGAATCAGGTGAGACACCACGGTGATGTAGAGCCTCAGCATGCAACTCCAGGACCACTGCAGGAAACGAGAAACAACTCCCCGTCACATTGGAGACATGGTCGTCCATGGTTGCAAATAACAACAACGGTTCAAGTGTTGCTCTCACCTGCACAAACAACGAAAAACTAGATGTGATGAGATGTGGCAAGTAACACAAAAAACACCACAAATGCTTGGCTCGCGTTCTCCAACACCGGGCGCACATTGACAGGCCAGTTTCCTGCGCCAAACCCCAGGTTCAAAAGCGAAAACTGAATCATGAAATCATCCAGCTAACGCAAATCTTAGAAGTGAACTGCCGTCTGGCTACTTAGACGCGTTTCCTAAAACAAGCATGTGGCATGCGAAACATGTTTCAAGGCCTGCAAATGTAATCTCGAACAACGTGTACGTTGCGCGGTAGGCAGTGCCATAGCCTCAGAACGACAAGTGCAAAAGGGTTTTCAGCCAAACCTAGGGCCGGATAGTCTTCCATAGTGAACATACTGAAGCCACGGCGAGGAGAAACAACAAATTACACTGGCATAGACCCTAAATAGCGGGGGTGTATAGGTTTAAAGGACACCCCACAAACGGCGTGTAACCGCAGCACGCAACATCAGACCAGCCCACCAATATGCGCAACATCTATCAGCTGAGTGCCACGCTTTGCCCAACACTGCCAGATCGGCAAGGACCAGCCAAAGCTGCCCGGACGACATTATGATCGTTGTTGCACAACACGTTGTCATACACAAGATGACAGCATATCACGCAGGCGTAACATGGCGTAACGTGGTGTCATCCCTGGCATGACCTGACGTCACCCCAGGCATGACATGATGTCATCCCTGGCATCACGTGATGATGCCCCTGTAGTGCCATAATGTCATCACTGGCATGACATAATTTCACTTTCACCATGATGTCACCCCTGCCATGCCATGATCTCATCCAAGCACCTGCACCAGCACGGCAGCACCCGCAAAACGAAAACGCTTATTCATAGCCACACCTGCACCAGCACCAGCACAGCAGCACCCGCAAAACGAAAACGCCGATCCTCCCTCGGATGCTGTCAGCACTTTAAAGTAATCATCATTACCTGGCAACTGTATCCAAGGACCAGGCAGGGTCCAAGTCGCTCCAGTAGGTGCTACACACCTTCAGGTGACCCCGCAGCCCCTCAATCCCTCAGGGCTTCCTGCCACCAAGCCCCAAAACATCTTGAAACCAAAAATAGCCGTGCGCCGTGAGCATAAAAACTTGTCTCGTCCTATTCACTGCGTTCAAGCCGCACTCGTGGCAATATTGGCAATAAAACACATCTTTCGGATTCCCCGCAAGCGAAACGTGTGAAGCTCAAATATCAGTTCTTGCCTGCTTAAGTTCAAGTTCGTGAATTGGTGCCTCGCGCCCTCTTGAATCTTCCAGTATGGTGGCCGCTTTTTGCCAAAGGATGTCAAGTCTATTCCACGTGGCAAGTGGCACAGGCACTTGCTTTGCGCCTTCTAATCTTTTTATCTCTAAGCTCAAGTTGACGGTAGTGAGGGTGTAGTCTGTCTCTGTTACTATAGTGACTGCAGCTACTTCATGCTGCTTAAATACGGTTAGGACCTACGATTTGGAGTTTCTACGGCGTGGAGGGCGCAAGCATCCAAGGTACAGTGGAAACTTTCCAAGTGGTGATCTTGAGATACTACCAATAATCGCGCGGGGGGCTCTGCTCCACATCGCTTGGTAAATTCATGTAATTTTTGATCCATTTTGACGCCAAGCAGCGCTCCCATAGAAAATACCGTTCAGTCTCTGGCAGCGCTTCGTCCAAAATGAAGGCCTTCCGCTGGACTCGAGTGAAGGTGGGACATGGTGGGATATAATGGTGGGACATGGTGGCACAAAAGGGTGGGACATGGTAGCTTCTTGTTACTAGGGTTTACTTCATATACCTGCAAAACCCTCCAACACGTCTCCTCTCGACTTTTTTGGACTCGAAAGTTGCAATTTGGAAACTAAAGTGCCTGAGCACAAAAATGACATAGAATGACATAGAGCCTCAAAAATTGTTGTGTTGCGCAAGCATGGCCACTGACCAGTCAGTTCTCCAATCCAACAGGGGAATTCGGCTTCCATGAATCTCATTGCGCTGCTGGATGTTCTGCGCGTAAAATGCATTCCTCCCTCGACTTGCCTGGAACATGACTCACTCCCTTGTGAATTGTTTGCCCCGTCCGCTGTGACCAAGAAACACGGCGCCTGTAGGAGATTGCCCATCATCAAGGCACCCATTGTCATAAAGACCCCCAGCAAAACCATGGACCAACACAATGATGGCAAGAAACATTGGCATGCACGCCTCAGTCCAGGACATAGGTCACTGCATTTGTATGCACGTGTGTGTCTGGCAATTCCGGTTCATGAGTCCCCTCGTGGGGAGGTTTCGACCCACCCAAAAACAGTGCAGGTATCTTGTCAATGGCTCATTGAGACTGCAGGAGCAGATCCCTAACGGCCGAGCCTTGAGGAAAGGCTGGGAGATCACACGTGTCAATGGTCAACTGCTCTGATATAAAGGGCAAGTAGAACCCTCACACAAACAGCAAAGTATTGGGTTTCTGAGCAGTGCGCACCATATTGATCTCTACAACTGTTGTCATGGCCATCTGGAGTTCCAGAGTGTTTTACGGTAGGCTGCACAGTAGGCTGCTCGCTTTCTCCAAGGCGCACTAAAACCCGCAAGCCGCGAAAGAACCGCAAGCTGCGCACCATGCGAATCGCTCGCCTGGTGGTGCTGGCAACAAGTTAGGTCATGATGCGTTTAAATATGGATCATGACTATGGACAAAAATCTTACAAGGGGGCGCGAGACGTGCTTGGATAACTGGTGTATGTAAGTGTGTTGATGGTTTCCACTTATGGAAAGTCCATGTGAACACAATAATTAAGTAATGTTACTGAAAACATGGGCATGTCACATACCACAACAGTCCAAACCTGCTCCTACAAAAGCGAGCGGCCATACTAGCGGCCATTTGTTTGTTGGCCAAAGGGGTCTGTGGCCGCAGTCTGTGCAGTTCATTTTGGCAAGTCGCAGGGACTTTAAAGCACGCATCAAGCGAAGGATCACCACACTTCTTGAGGCTTCCTGAGCTGAACGAGTGTTGCGTCTGCTTTCCGGCCCACTTTCGGTCGGCACTGCGAATCCGACATTGCTAAGAGGCGTTGGTATCTTCCAGAGAGAGACGCAGGATTAAGTCGATGACGCCGGAGATCACGCACAAAGTGTCCTTGCCAGATCGATGAAGGTTGGTGGGTGGGTGGATAGGGAATCCTCGTTAAAACACTCGATGGATGGTGTCTGAGTTCACTTATTGAAACGTTTTCTGGACCTTTCAAGCACCGTGACTTGGCACATATTGAAACATCATGATCATGATCATCCAACGTTAAGTTTCCCTAAAAACCTAGGAACCAACGGAACCTAATCATTAGTGCCTGAGCTATCCTGCGTCCTAGCTAGGAGCGAACTTCTCCTAGTAGCTTACTTCTCCCTTACTTAATTGTATAAGTAGGCGCCTACTCAATTAAGCAAGGAGGCAGGGCCACGGGCTAAAAAAATGGTCGATGAAAAAAAAGCGCGCACAGCGGAGAGATATTGGCTCAACCCAATACCTAAACGTGCATGTAGAAAAAAACACAGGTTCAGTTCGATTTGTCCACAATGTCCACAATCCTACCTACAAAGGAAGGAACACATTGCAAGCCCAAAGCAAGATGCAACTTGGAAGCTTGTGTTGTTAGAGCCTTAGTAGATGGTATAGTCTCATCCCACTCGATGTCTCCATGCTCGTTAGCCAAGATGATTTGTCGAAATTACGCACAAGTGGGTTATGATCCCAACACCGTGGACATTTATCTTTTCCTAGATCCAACATGTGCTATGGCACACTGGTACACATGCATGGCTTCCTCGCCAACCTGCGAATGTCTGAAGTGAGCGGGTAAAAGCCGAGCCTGGCCTTGACGTGTCTTAAAAGTGTGACTGAACACTTTGTTTTTCTTCCAGATCGATCGGACTTGGACTGTCCTCTGTTTCATCGACATGTTGTTACACTCCACGCGCCTCATAGAAGGAAATCCCTCCAGCCGCCTTTGTTTCCTTCTCGTACACCGAGCGGGCACACAACAACACTTTGTGAACGTCCCACTGGTCAAATCGTGCCCAATTGTTGCTGCGCCCATGTCAGCAACCTGTTCCCCCGATACTGTCTCGAAAGAACGGACGCCTGAACTAATCTCAGCACCGTCAGTTTCGAGCACGCTCGGAGTATAGCTGCAACTGCCACTACTGCGGCCATTGCCTTGCGAGCTCGCTGCAGCAAAAGGATAAATCAGTTTGGTAACAAACATTGGGTATGAATATCTGACCGAATCTGGCTCCAAAGGAGCCTAAGCCCTAAGCAACATCTTGGGCTGAATTGTGGCACGCGCCATCACGCGCCGCTTTAAGACTTGATCAGGAAGTTCGCGTGTTTGTGGAAAAGGTTTGGAGCAAGGCTGGAGACGAGGGCAAGAACAGGAGTGGAGGGCAAGCTTGTCGCGAAACATGAGCCAAAAAAGAAAGCAAAAGCAGGTGTCTTGATGTGCCTTAGATCATCTTAGATCTATGTCACTTGAGTTCGCTCGTCATGAGTTGTGAGAGCATTCTGCATCACGAGTTTAACGAGTTTCCTCCCAACTTATGCCATTAAGATCCTCAAGCTTGATACGCCGCAGCCGAGACACATGTTGCAATGCTTGGTCACCGCTGAGGCTGTAGTTTGCCTAGAGTTCTGTTGAGATTTTGTGTCGATATCACCCGGTGAATTTTAAGGCTTGAGGGAGCATCTGCAAATCCGTGTGCCCAGGTCTGATTGCAAGGCTCTAAACGAGAGCCACCAATGCTCGATAGCCGATAGATATCGAATGATATCGATTGTTGAAGCGCCTGGCTCATCGACACGTTTGCCTCACGCAGTTGCCTTTTCTCCCAAATGGTCTCTTGCAACTGTGCCTGCTGTAGTACTCCGAATTGCTTGCACCTACTGCTGCTCCATCTGCTGTTCGCGCCAAGCCACATAACTCCGAAGAAGTCACTGTTGCTGCATCTGTTGGTGCACAAAAGCTCAAATGAACATCACAAGCCCTAACAGGCTCTAACAAATGCTCCTCCATCTCCCAGGAATCCGACTGCGATTGCAAGAGCTAACAACACTGCTATGCATGTTGCTCCAAAACTTGCGATCAAAGGTGCTTCTACATGGAACCTACCTCGTATGCTTCAGCTCCTCCTCTCTCAGCTGTAAAGCTCCACGCCGCCATGCACTAAATGGATTATAATCCCATATGATTCCAATACCCGGGCAAACATTTGTTTCCTTGGGCCAACGTGCGAAAGGGTACACATTCATGATGCCCACAGTTTAAGTACAACCATCCTGGCCCATCCTGTTCTCACCTGCGAAAATGCTTCATTCTCAACACGAAGCCACGGCGCACATCCAACTCGTTTCTGGGCGATGGTGGGCACTGCTTTGCTTCATGCAATAATATGCGCATGTATGTTTTTGTAGTAAAGTCCACTCAGTAATCCAGGGTGGCGCTGGGTGTGTGGACAGGCTGCCCCCCAAACCACCTCCACGAATGTAGGTGTAATGCCTTGGTCCTCACCCAGGGTCACCTGGGGCCTATCTAAGAGTTTACCTACCTCTGTGAATAAGGTGGCGCAACTCTCATTGCACCGCTTACAGCTTCAACAAATGAAACTCATGAACACGCTACCCTCTCCACAGAAGCTGGGCCACACCCAACCCCTCGAGTGGAAACATTTGTGTATATGTGTAAATGCATATAGGCATATTGGCATCCAAGCGTCGAACCAATTGGCGAAGTCAGTCAGAAACTCCATCCGATCCAAGAAAATTCGTACAATCCACTCGATGGTGAAGACAATGACAAATGTCACATCCAATGCCCTGAGCAAAGCTGGGGAGAATGTGGGACTGCGAGGGGCACCCGGACTGAACAAATCAGAAATCCAAAGATCTCACCGTCCTTTCAAGAGTCTCGCATCTCCGGCCCCAACGACGCATCTCCCGGGCCTAAAAATATGAACGGCGTCGTTCCATGCTGCTGCCGAGCCGGCATGGTAGCCTTGGGCAGCAAAACAGCATCACGCCAGTCTCACAGCAGTTGTCGCGATGGCACGTAGGGCAAAAGGCAGGTTTGGACAAACAAAATGTGACATATGAGATATGAGAACATCATCTTGTCAACTTGTGATCCACCAGGCATCTCAGCCACAAAAGGCTTGATAGGGGGGGACCAAACCCATGCTCCCAAAATGCCACATGTGTAAGAGATGTTGATGTCCAAATCTCTTCTCATGGTTTGGCAGGATTATAAATACAGCCATGGTCACTAGTGGTCCTGAATGACCCGGAAGACCCCTTTGGTGCTTATTGATGCTGGAGGCGCAAGATGGAAGGGAAGAGAACAAGCAAAAACTGCAAAAAAAGCAAACATAACTTATATAAGTATGTACTGACTGTGTATATAACATTACCACCGTAGTTGCCATAGTCCACCTCGTTCATCTGATCAATCAATCCCCCCATCCACCCTAGTAGCTTCTTGTTATTAGTAATGGCCTCCAACCTGATAGCGATGGCCTCCACCCTACTCGCTTCTTGTTACAAACAATCACACACCTCAAGAACTTCTTCAGGCTCACCCCTTCGCCGGGGGGCCAATCATCTCACCATTGGCGTTGCCCTCCAGCCTGACTGGGCGCCGGAGGTGGGTGACCCAAGCTGGTCAACCACCGGCCAAGCACTCAACAAGTAGCGACGACATCGACCGGAAGTGGATGCTTCGACTCACTATGTCAAACGCAAAGAGACCCCGTACCTCGCCGTTCCTCAATGGCGGAGCTTAACGACGGTGGCTTGAAGCAAATCTGGCATGCCTTTCTCTGGATGAAATGTGTTACACGTGGGGCTATATAATGATAGCGCGGGGCACTCAAGCAGGGACAAGCTTGAAACTGTAAACTCCCTCCAAACAAACAGGCTTCTCCTAGATGCATCTCAAGGCAGCTTATGCCAAGTTGCACAGCAAGGGCTTCTTGCGGTCTTCAACCGTGCTTCTAAGTCCACCCCAACCGTCAACACGGCACCATGGTCGCTTCGACCCTCCACCAGGCAGCTGGAACTCAAACAGCATCACGAGGGAGTTCAACAGGACCTCGACATGACATGAAATCCGCTGCCCATGACGGGAACATGCGCTGCTATGACCAAACCTGAAGTTGCGCACGTGCCACATGCATCATCAATTTGCTTAAAAGAAGTTTGTGTCGGCGTTTTTTAGTTTTGTAACCTTCCCCCCTTGTGCCCTTGTTTCCTCTCCAGCATATGAACTACAGCCAGAACAGCCTCCTTGTGCCATTGAGCATCAGCATTACCATTCTTTAAACGTGTTGCCAAGAGGCTAGCCCACCAGCCACGTAATCAAGGAAGTACTTCAAGCGTGTGTGTCTTGAGACTCCTGTGCAAGCACAGGTGGTCAAGCGCCGGCAAATGCTGCTTCCTTGAGGAGCTTGGAACCTGAAGGGAAAAGAGATAGAATATATATAATCCAAAACTCCAACACCTCAAAGCAGGGAACTCTGGCTAGTCAAACGTAAATCCATCCTGGCAGGCTTGATGCTCCAGGGCAGCCTGAAAACGACATCAACAAGCCCATGAACGGTGATGCCTCCGAACTCATCCTTTTCACTCAAGAAGTGGTCCATTATGAATCGATCTCCAGATCGGCCATCCTTAAGGCCTTGGAATGGAGGCATGTGCGAGCCAAAAGCGGCAACCACGATATGATATCAGCAACCACTGGAGTTGAAACCACAAGACAAATCGCACCTAGAACCACTTTTGACTGCCTTTATCATTGGGCACCCCAAAGCAAACGCCGTGGGAGGCATCATGGACCAACCATGACTAACCGATCTCCAAAAAGACAACCGGCTTGTGGCTCAAGCAGTCGCAGCCGCAGTTATGTTTGGGTAAGCTCCTCCCTCCCTCGCTCCCTCCCTGGCTTTTTTGAGGGGTAAATGGGCAGCTGAGAGGCCGCTGATCAGTCCACGGATCGAAGGCCTTAGAGAAGAAGTTGAGCCATCGATCGGTGAACATGCCCGGGCACTTCAGAATTCAAGGATGTGGTAGTCTTGAAGCCTGGGAGTTGGGATAGGTTCCCTTGCCTTCTTGAGCAGGCTTTCCCAGCCAACCGCTAGCTGATGTTTCGGAATGCTTTGATGTGTTTTCATCTGACCAACATGCAGGAAAATGCGCTATGACGTGGTCTTCTTAGTTTCTCTTAGCAAACTAATGTCACAGCCATGGACGTGATTCGACATGGTGCTGCCTCCCCCTAACAAGCTTCTTACGTATCGTGTGCTCCACCTGTAGACAAAGGGCTTGAACCCTTGTGTTGCACAGGATGGATGCTAGGTAAGCATTTCTTTGTGGATGGCCATCGCTTGACTCAGCCTCGTTGCCCTCTCGAGCATGACTGATCAGGTCTGGTAGGCAAAGAGCACCCCCCAAAAAAAGGGAAACTCAGCAGCCCCGCCACATGTTCTAGGATGAAACGTGAAATGCCCACTTGTGCCACGCAAACCAAGCAAACATCACCTACTCCAAGCGCCTCAGGATTGGTTATCCTCAGGAGTCTGCAGTGAAGACTGCTTGCTCGCATTCTTCCAGTGGACACCCCCACATGATCAAGCACCCACTTATACTTACACATCTGTCCTGCCACCTCGGATACGGGTTCCCACAAAACCATGGGAGGTCCCAACCCGGGGAATCCTTGCTTAGTAATGCACTTGTTACTAGCATTCTTGTTACTGAGTTACTGGTAGTAAGGCCAGGAGCCCCTAGTAGCGCCCCTGCTCCTAGTAGCGATGCCCTTTGCTCCGTTCGTAGCGTCCACACCACTTGGATCGATCACCTGGACAGGTACATCCAAGCAGCGGCAAGGTATTTGGAGAACCCACCACTTCCCCAGCGGAGTTGTTCAGCTGAGAATTCGCCTGAGATAAAGAACAGAATGACTCTCAACTTAATGTGTGCTAAAAAGGGGAAGGTGCACACTTAACACACCCCGTGTAAGTATGTGTGTTGAGCTCAACTCATAGGTGTCTTTACCCCTCTTGACTTATAGGTGTGGTAGGGGTAAAGAGGAATTGCAAATCAAACCCTTTGTTTGTTGCTTTCTTCATGTGCCGCTCCACTGATAGCGCACAACAAACCGGCCAAGTACCAGTATCTGTGGCAATGGACGGGGCTTCAATGAGATACACATTGATTTTGTCATGTTTTGTCCAATCAGCAGGCCAAACCCAAAACCTTCTGGTAGAAAGAATCATGGCCTGGAACCCTCAAATTGAGACACAGTCCGAGGGTCATGCTGAGCATGAGGCATTGGTGCCCCAATCAAGATTTACAGCGCCCTTTTGTACTACTATTACTGTACGTTTAAGCAGCGGCAAGTATGTATTTTTTATTCACCAAATTGAATCTCCAGCCCCCTTTTGAAACACATCGCAACTAATAAATATAGTTGTGGTTCAATCTCATCTTCAAATTGTTGCTAGTAGCGCAAGTTGCATGGTTACATATTTGTAATGACCCTTCTGGCACCTTCTGTAAGAACAAAACGGTCTGAGGTGGTTCAAAGATTTTGCATCTACACATTCTTCACCGTCAGTCGGCCAAGGGGCAGTATTATGTGGCTGCTGGAGCTGGGGCGCTTCAAAGATATCAGTGACACTGGAGGTTTCTGAGCAGTCGTCCCCTGGTGCGAGTGGGAGATGCTGTCAGTAACTTTGCTCCATGCATAATGATGAATTAGCCTCTTTGGACTCCTCTTTGGATGTCTAGAGTCTATGAGATGTGTGCCAGGTCCTGCCCGCACATGAATGTGCCGTACCAGTACCAGGGCGCTATTTCTTCGTGTTGGACTGCCCGCTCCTCAGGCACTTGAGGACGAAAGGTAGCCGGGTGTGAAGGCTCAAGCGTCGCCCCTGTTTGGGCCTGAGCCTGTTTTTGGGACGAACTCACTTTCGCAGCTGTCTTGGGAGTTGCTTCGTTCGGATCCATGTCCAACTCCTCCAGGTCACGATCTGTTTCCACGATTGCTCGTACAAGCATGGAGCTGGTTGTGTGCACGCGAACTCGGAAGGACAAGAAACGTGACCCTCAGTTATCAAACATGGACCGTAATTACTAAACTCCGTTTGAACAAACGGACAAAACATAAACCGATATAAACCGCGTGCATGTATAGGATAGGTGTAGAACCTTCAATGGATCACCAAAAAAGTAGCAAAATGAACGAAGCCCCACTTAGAGCTAAAAGGCTTTGTCAACAACGGCATGCTGTGGCACAAATGACGATAATGCAAAGCGGGGTGCTTGCCCTGCCCGTGTGTGAGTTCGTGGAATCTCTGTGTACTGATTGAAACCCTCCTCTCCACTTTTGCTAGTTGCCTATCAAGCTTGGTGGTGGCAAAGCGCTGTTCCATCCTCGAATACATGATACTTGTGATATGTGATACTCTTTGCCATCAGAAAACCCTACCGCGTCCAAGCGGTCTGCCTGTTCATGTACAAATTGCGGTGAGGCCTGACAGCTGAGAGCGTCCTCGCTCCTGCCCCGCTACTGCCCCCCTAATTGATGCCGCTGGTGTACTAGCGATGCTTAGATGCTTCTGAAGCTGCTTCCAACCACACTCAGCCACCCCGGCAATGCTTCTGTACTTTACAATAAATCCACCCCCAGCTGCACCCACGAAGACCTTGTCCAATGGGTGGGTGCACCTTGTGGACCCATCCCCCCCTTGTAATCGCTTGAATTCTAGTAGCGATGCCCTTTGTTACTAGTAGCTTCTTGCTCCTAGTAGTACGGCCAGGAGCCCCTAGAAGCGTCCTATTCTTGCCTCTTGCACATTCCGGCGTCCAAATATGTCCAAATCTGAGATCTGGCCAGGCCTATTGCTAGCGCGAGGACATCTCACGTAGCTGATGCTACCTTGCAATTCCCTCATAATCCCTCAAATTTCATATTTAGATATATTCAGCCACTGAATCGGCTTTGCCCTGCTTAACATGAGCTCATACTGCAACATGTCCAATGACCAAAATCAAGGCTGTGTGTTCTCGAATAAGCACGTATGGCCGTATGGCTCATTGTCGCCCCTTTCAGTCCTGTGTGTTCCTGTGTTGCCCCTGGCGCTAAAGGGTCCAAGGGAAAAGATCAGGTTGGGGTCCAGAACTGACAAACTCAGACTCGTCTATTCCCTCGTGGTCCGAGCTCGCCTTCAGGCGGAGGACCTGGATAAGATCCCAAGCTTTGAATGAAGTTCAAGCGTGACGAGCCCGGTGAGGGCGGCGAGGAATCGGTGCTTTCCATCTGAGCGGCGGCATTTATTCAGTGCTAAACTCAGATACACTATCTATTATGTGGGGCTGTGGGGGCCCTATCTCGTTTAGGCTACTTAAGTAGGTCATGTCACAGTATCTCCTTCAGACTCCTCTAGTGGCAAATTACAGTACTCAGTATCACGTTTGGACTACTTTAGTGGGATCAAAAAAGGTGCAGGACATAAAAGCCATTTATGGACTGAAAGCTGCATGTAAAAAACAAAAACATGAACACACCCATGCTCTGAACCATACAAACTCGCTGTGCATGAGCTGAGGGGTCATGAACTTTCAACTAGCGAGGCAACCCTGAAAGAAAGCACGGGAAAGTTACAAAGAAATAAGGGCTTGGCCGAACACTCGAAGCTGAAATACACATTCACAAAACTTGACTCACTGAATCAAACAAACAAGAATGCTGCTTGAGATATTTACTTAAATAGCATCCGGGTGGGGACCTGCGCTACATTCTTCGGAGGATCAAAGAGTTGGTGTGCCAAACCCTGCAACACAGGTGAAAAAATGACTCAGAACCAGGGTGTGTTGTTCTGCTCTTGGGTCCACATCTGCATCTTATCTTGGGAGTTCTACAGTAATTTCTCTGGCAAACTTGGCGGAGAGGATATTGCCAATTCATCCATGTCAAAGCACGGCTGCAGTGTGTTGAACCAAGTTTGTCTCAACTATACTGAACTCTGTGGAGGCCTCTCTGGCAGCGTTCAGGCAAGGTTACCAGCAGGCAAACACATGTGCCCACGTTATCCAGCTGCCATCAGCTGCCACATTACCCCGCCGCTAGCCATATCTATATGCTCACTTCACGAGCAAAACCTGTGTGCCCACAGCGCCATACAGCGCCCACAGCGCCATACAGCGCCCACAGCGCCACCACCCGGTCATCTCCAAGTGGCCAGAAGCACCGGTTTGCTTGTGGGGCACACAGGCATCCGGGTCCCGATTTCCACTCGGCATTCGCCCAAGGTCTGATCCTGGACTGTGACGGGCCGCGCTGAACGACGACCATCGGCACCCAGTGATTTCTGCAAGCCACTTCAATAGGCCCTTGGATCAAGCTTCGCAAAAGCAAACAAGCTTTTTCCAGCCAAGGTTGGCTTAGCTTGCAATTTAAGAGTGCCTTCTCCGTCCCTCTGTCTCTGTCTCTGTCCCCTTTTTGCTTTTTCATCCTTTTGAGGTTCCACGGATCGATCGATCGATCTCCCAAAACGACCCAAGAAAACCACCCATCCTTGCTGGGCTGTACCTCTTTCAGCCTCACAGCCGGAGATGAGGGTGAGCTGAGAAATTCCAAAGGGTAGGACACGTGGAGCCTCAAGGGGCCTGCAACTGCAGAACCCCTAGATTGGTGGTACCCTGGATGGCTTGAAACATATGGGTACAATCCAATTTCTGGTGGATGTTGAAAGTTATTCTTGGCCTCTCGCCAAAAGAAGCACCACTCCATTTACGAGAAAGAAACTGCATGCGTTCAACCAGCACAGTTGATGAAGCCGTTGGTGTTTGAAGATGGGAAACCCGGTGTTGCCACGGTCAAGGGGGCACCACAGCCCTGCCTCCTGCTGATTCTCTTTGGTAGTTATATAAGGTTATATAGATATATAAGTTTATATAAGTTATATTGTGAAGAGTGATCAAAGCGCCTGATGGGTCCAAGTGGGGCCCTTGATGTTTTGCAAACCTTGAAGGAAAATAGGCTCGTGGCACGTTCAAGTGTGGACATGACAACGACAAAACCAACCTCGATGGTCAGCAATGACTGCTTCACATGGATTGAGCGGGAACCCCAAATTAAGGAGACTATGATATTGATCCCCACGTCCATGTTCTTCCAACACGTCCACCCTGTGGTGCGCTCCCCACGTCCATGACCCCAAAAGCCCCAAGAGCCGCCTGCAACAAACCTCTTCCACCAAGAGCCGCATGGCGGTGCGTTGCTCCTCTGCAAGCCTAGAGAAATCATCAACGTTCGAATTGAACGGTGAGCCGAATGGCCCAGGGTTGCCTCTTTGACTCGAGATGCATATTGGCAAGTACGGGCTTCACCAGCAAGGTTTTGGGCCCTCCAAGTTGAAATAACAATCAAACATTTAGGCCCACATCATTGCATTGTGTCGTCGAAAGCACCCATTTCCGGGATGGTTTGAGCCCACCTATATCTAGCAATATTATGCAATATTCTTCTTCAATACCTACTAGCATGCGCATGTAGTGAACTTGTTGCTTAAGCACACAAAAGTTGGGCAGGAATCAGGCTAGCTGCTAGCTGCATAGCAAAGTGAAAAGCTACGGCCTTCGGCCAAACACATCGAGGAAGGTTGCTACATCATGTTGCAGAACATGCCTATATAAATCAGCATCCAAACCGTTTTTTTGAACCTGGCATGTTGGCGAAGGCATCTGCAGGCCATGTGTTGCTGTGTGCTTCACCATTTGGCTGCATTTGGCGGAATGACCCCCAAACAAACAGGCCGAACTCATTTTGATCAGCCAAAAGCAACATGGGTTCTGTGGTGCTATTCTGGCGGTATTCAGTCGCTGGTTCGTCATTTGAAGAAGTAAATCAGAAACAGGCTAGCTACGCCAAGGTGCCTGACCAATTGATTCTGCCCATCGTCCACCAACTGCGACCACTGATCCTCACGGAGGTCCAAATGGTCCAAGTTCCCATGTGAGGTCACACAATCACTCCCGTCAGGTCGTCAGGTGCTCTCTAGTTTGGTTTCCAGAGGTCGCAAGCATATCAATCCTGCCTACTGTACAACTTTTTCTGGCAGGGTTGTGGGGGTGCTGAAAGGTTGTGGATGCTGCTGCCCTACTATCGTAGATGAGCGAATTATTCAATCCCTTGCAAACACCTCCACCCCTCCAACCCTCAAAGTTCTATGTGAGCAAACCTGCCGGAGTGTTTTGGTGCATGGACCAAGCAAATCAAACCCTGGCAATGCAAAGTGAAAGAAGTCACAAATTTAACCTTGAACTTTGGGGTAAGGGGTTCTGACTTAGGGGTTCGAATAGTTTGTCAATCTTACTGTCTCTAGGTGTCATGCTTGTACGAACCCAGTACTGTTTCAAGGTGTCGCGTTTGCACATACTCCTTTGCAAACAACATGTCCAACAACTTTTGGTTCTACCTTCTCCGCTGCAAACGTGAGACTCCAAATAGATAGCCGCGAGATAGCACTTTCTGTGATTTTCTGTGTCACTTTTGGAAGATGTCTCGCAGGAACCGCTCGTCGTGTCCTTCTCAATGCCTTTTTTGGATTTTGTGTGGTCCTGTCAACAGAATAAGTTCTATCCATACTTTGTCTTTAAAGTATTGTAAAATAAAGTAAAGCAAAGAGTTAGGCACGCAGCTAAAAGGCCCTGTAAAGGGCAGTACCATGCCACCCCCAGTACTGCAAATGGACGAATTATACAAACCCTTAGAGGCACCTCCACGCCTCCTACCCCAAAGTTTATTGTTAGCAAGCCGGTCGGGTTTTTTGGGTGAATGGACAGAACAACCGAACCCTGGCCACACATTCAACTTCAGGGGTAGTTAAGGAGTTCTCTTAGGGGTTCGATATTTTGTCCACCTACTGCAGGAGAATTCCAGCTCTGGATGGCTAAAGATGATAGCAAAAACATGCTAGGCTATAGCCAAGTGCATTTACATATGGGACTTCTAGTGCGGCTGCCGTCAGCCAAGCGTCCATGGTCAGTCAGCGCAGTGGCAGAAGCGGTCACCGGGCGCTCAATGTGGGGTGAAGAGTTCGGGGAGACCACCAGCGAGCTACTCGGTACTGTGTTCTTGCACCTAGAGCAGTAGATCCTAACAATCTTGCAACACAGGAGAGCCCTTTGAAAGCCTCATGTTCTCCGATGCTCTTGTTGGATCAAAGCACAGTAAAACCAGGTTTCTTCTTCTCTGATGATGCTAAGGGTGAGATACTGTTGGTCGATGGCATCTGTTGCAAAGGAACTTCCAAACAAACAGTCTTGTCATGTCTAGTCACCAATCAGAATGCTTGGTTTGAGCTCGAGTCACCCCGCCTGGGGCACAGCAACCATGTCTAAGCGCTAGCCGCTAGCACTACCGCTAGCCTATCGCTGACAAAAAAACACGCATTGGGTTACCCATCGGTCACGTCACAAAGATACGGGCATCAGCTCACGAGTCGAGGTTGTGAAAGATCCCGCAACTCTGGAAGTCTGACCAAGCCCACTAAAGCCCTGTTGTCTTGGTTTGTGGACCTGAGGGACAACGACACAAACCAAAACAAAAGCATACAAACATGATAAGGAGCAAACCCAATAATTGTATAGCCTGGTTTAACAAAGCTGGAAACAAGATCATTGCAGTACAGCTGTCAGTGTCCAGCTTCCCGTAGCTCACAAGGTGAGAATTAGTGCAGCATGCTGGTGCATCATTGTGAAGGAATGTGCATAATGTGCTAAGACCCCCTTAGGAGCAAGAAGCTACTAGGGGCTCCTGGCATCGCTACTAGGAGCAAGGACGCTAATTACTAGGGGCTCCTGGCCTTACTACTAGGAGCAAAAAGCCACTAGCAGCGACCGAAGCTTCCTTGAAAATCGTTTCACTTGGAATCGTTTCACCTGTAGTAACAAGAAGCTACTAGGAGCTAGAAACTATATTAGTTCCAAGCTCCCGCCGAGCCAGTCCGCACTCGGCAGTGAATATCATTTGACTGTTGCGACGCGTTTGGAATGAGGGAATGATTCTACAGATTTCTACAGTGTAAGGGTCATTCATGCTCATTCCCTACATTTCCATATGGAATGCCAGTGTGTCATCGACGTCTTTTCCACTTTTGGCATCAATAGCTGGACTCGAAAGGTCCGCGCTGGATGTCTCAAACTCTCGCTATGTCTTAGTGCATGGGGCCTCATGGCCTAGCCTACCTGCCATACGATGGCGCAATCTCCAAACCTAAATTAGCACATGCATGCAAATGCATCGGCCAATCGTTGTAACTGGCAGCACGTTGAAGAAAAAAACTGTTTGTAGACCACTTGGCACTAAACGTGCTACCACTTGACGAGGCTTGAATCTGCCAAAAGTACCAAAGGACATCCTGAACATCCTGCCTAGCAAAAACATGGAAACACTTCAAAGGAGTGTTTCAGGAGACATCAAAGCCAAGAATTGCTCAAGATTCTCTTTTGTCTATGTCCTGCCTGTGATGGAGACATCCAAGGAGCGCCATTGATGAACTCTACGGTCCGAGCAAGCTGTATCCACACCCATTTGGGTGCAATTGCGCATGGCCGGACCAAATCAGCTGCCAGTGCTAGGCTCTTCTACATATTTGGCAGGCCGATGGCCAAGTTCTATATAGTCCGGAGGGAAGTTGTTGATATAGCTGTGCCACTTCCCTGTCGAAATCTAGTTGCCCTGATCTGTGATAAACATTGAACACGACCCATTGGCTCTGAAAAAGGTGTCCCGTGTTGAACAGTTAAGTTATCGCGGGTTATTGCTGCGTGAGGTTTCATCAAGTTCTATAACGGTTCCGCGCAAGAGAAGCAATCCAAAGTGTTTTTTTGCTGCGGCGAAGGTGAGTTTCTTTTTCAAACGTTAAATTGACATCGGTCAGCAACATGCCAGGGATGGTGGATATGCATGGACTCAATGTGCCACAATGGTGCCAGCACCGTCAGCGCAACGGTTCGCACCGAGAGTTGTTGGAGGGTGATTCAGGTCTCAATCGGAAACGTAAAGTTCGACTGGAGGCGTCAGCTATTTCAAGCATAGTCAATAGTCAATCGTCAGAGTCTGTTTGCATGGGTGTATATATACATATAATATGTGTGTGTGTGTCAAAGCCTGTGTCCAAGGCTGCACACATGTCTTGAACAAAAACTAATTTTAACAACGCGATAAAAGAGGCAGGGGGCTCGTGGACGCATGGAAGTCACGAGCCAACGAAGACCCATCCATGTCGTCGTGCTACCAGACCTGATCAGTCTGGCGTACCTGCAAACTTTTAAAGCTTTGGAAGCCTCGTCTGTTTCACCCATGTTCAACAATACAAGTGACGCCGACTCTTTCACCATTCGGTTTGCAAGTCAAGGTCTACAATGCAACGGGTAATGTACTGAAAGTGGGGCTTCACTCTGAACTTAGCTCTTGCGAGCAATTCTCAAAGTGAGTTTCGCACAGAGTCCCACTGAGGGCTGTGGCCCAGATCCTGGGGGACCCACTCTGACTGTTCCGTTCTTGCACTTGAACTTCTTTATGCAATCCCACTGATTGGCGGAATTGCACGAGACTGCTGATTGAACGCCGCAGGGCTTACTGTGATCAGATCCAGTTGGGAATTTCACACATGAGCATGTTTGGAGCAGTGTCATTTGGCTAAATAAACAAGACGGGACACCTGCACGGGTCGAATTTGTCATTCGGACGACTTCGAGTTTTGCTCGAGGCTTCTAGGTTCAGGTGAAGGGTTGCTCGATGCTTTTCAGGTTTCAGGTGAAACTGTACCGCCTTTTACGGCCGAGCGGAAGGAGAGTCCGGAACGTGAACGACTAAGTAATCTCTTCTGGTTCTTTTGTTTTTCCTTCCTGCTGTTGCTTTTCGTTTTCTTGAGGCCTTTCTTTAGGTTTCAGTCAAAGATGCGCCGAATGCGGCTTTACTTGAATGCCAGTGAGTGACGGCAATGCCTTCGGGCCACCCTAACCCACCCTCCCCCCTACCTCCTTGCCCCTGGCCTTGGTTGCTATCCCACCCGCCATCTAGGGTAACAGAAGGAAATCGCACTCAACACACTTGTGTGTTGGTGCCTTTCCTTCTGTTTCTCCTGTCCTAGTTCTAGCTACCCGGGCGGTCTAAGACTAAAGTCCCGCTCGCTAACTATTGCATGTAATTCGCGTAACTAGAAGGCTTCGTAACTAGGGGGCCTTGTAATAGAACTACTCCTATCTTTCTCTCTTGCCCTCTTCGTTTGCTCTTTCTGTCTTTTCTTTTTCTGTCTTCTAAGGCTTGTTAGGTGGCTAGTACTTTCCTTGCGCGCCGCTATCGGCGTGACGTGTGTGCGACAGCCTGTTTTTAAGGCTGCGCACATTGCCAAGTTTTAAAGCCGATTTTAACCTTAGGGGCTGCAACTAGGAGTCCCATAACTAGTGGGCCTCGTCACTACCCCTACCTTTCTCTCTTGCCCTCTTCGCTTGCTCTTTTTGTTTCTCTTTGTCTTTCTTTCCAAGGCTTGTTAGGTGGCTAGTACTTCGTTTGAGCGCCGATCTCGGCGTGGTGTGTGTGTGCGTGTCAAAGCCTGTTCCCAAGGCTGCTCATGTCTTGTACCAAAACTATTTTTAACAACGCAAAAAAAGAGGCAGGGGGCTCGTGGACGCATGGATGGCATGAGCCAACGAAGACCCATCCATGTCGTCGTGATACCAAACCTGATCAGTCTGGCGTACCTGCAAACTTTTAAAGCTTTGGAAGCCTCGTCCGTCTTACCCATGTTCAACAATACAAGTGACGCCGACTCTTTCACCATTCGGTTTGCAAGTCAAGGTCTACAATGCAACGGGCAATGTGCTCGCAAAAGTGGGACTTCACTCTGAACTTAGCTCTTGCGAGCAGTTCTCAAAGTGTGTGTACGTGTGTGTGAGTGTACCTTCCTCCTTCTGTGCAAGGATCTATATATATATATAATGCTTACCAAAGCCTGGGTCAAAACTCTGGGCAGAAATCCTGAGTGGCGGTTCACAAAGGGCCTTTGCCAAAAATCAATCTTGGGGATCAACAAGCCCATGCTGTCCCATGCTCCCCATGCCACCGTCCGAATCACCATCCCATAAAATGACACGATGGCAACCTGCGTGACTTTGCTGTGGTGACAGATTTGTCACTACCACCGGAGGCCAGCGAAGCCAGCTGCAGTACATCGACCTTGGAATAATTTAAGAATGTAGTAGAAAACAACACGCTAGAACCCGCAAAAGCGGCCACCAAACCTTGACACGTCATCACTAATAGTGCATACAATTGCATATGTGCATACAAGAAGTCTCTAGCCACAGGTATGTTCTATTTGCCGTCTGTTATGAAGCAACTTACGGCAGGATGCACAGGATGCAAGGGTTTTTGCCCCTAGACGTGGGACCCGTGGCAAGCTCACAAAATTCAGACCTGAGACCCGTGACGGTCGTTTCCATACACTTACTATATAGTAGTAACAAGAAGCTATTAGGAACAAGTGCATCGCTACTAGTAACAAGTGCCTTACTAGTAGTAACAAGAAGCTAGTAGTAACAATTGACAGGTCAAAACACGGGGCTTCGGCTTCGACTTGCCACCGGCGAAGGGAATAGCAGCACAGCATGTACGGGTGTCGTGTCGCAGTGGCTTTGCCACTGTCGGAAGCCGTAGCAGTTCCAGCAGTCTAAGCCTTTGTTCATCTAAGGCGGGGAAACCAACCAAAAAACCATAGCAAGTAACATCTCTGCCTCATTCCAAAAGATTGTTTTCCTGACTGGATCAAAAGGCAAGCATTTTGGAGGGCTCCAAGGAGTGTCACCAAGATCTGATGACTCGGGCCTGAACATGACCCACTCCTTGACTCCCTGACCCTGCAAAGACCATCCACATCAACCCTGGACCCTGCAGGCCCTTTTGGCATTCTGCAGGAGAAACTGAGCTGTCAAACTGGCTAAGGTTCCGCAACTTGGCCATTGCCCAAGTGTCTAAAGCGTTGAGCTTTTTGCTTGACTCTGTCTGATTGCGCCAGGGGGGGCCAAAAGGAACAAGTTAGTATATATCTATATATCTATATTTTTCCTATATAGATATATCTATTGATATGACCATTGATATGTACTTTCTGGTCGTGTGAGCTTTGACTGGCTGCCGGAAACGGCCAGCTTTGGTGCTCCCTGTATATGGAGCAATCTACCGCCACCAAAGTCAGCTGAAAAGAAGGAAAGTACCACCCTAGTTTGTTGCTGCTTCACTTCTGTGCACATTCTGCAATCTGCACTTTATAATACCAATTGATTCAGGAGTGACCTGGCTCAATGGGGAAAAAAGCTTTGGTGCAGTTCTTTGGAACGCTCCCCAGACACAGCTGCCAGTGCTGATACATGTGTGTCTCACGGCACCAGATAGCAGCACTGGGCCATCTTCGCACCAAGTTACAATGGATAATGACATACTAGCGCTGGGGTTTAGTCACCCGGGTTTGCAGAAAGTCACCCGGCCGCATGGAAACGCAACATTAGTCAAAAGTCACCCGGCTGGCGAAAAGTCACCCGCTCTATGTTAAAACACAATGTAAACGCTCTACGGAAGTACGTTTGTCAAAGCTGCTGTACATCAAGAATTCACTGCCCCTGTGGAGGAAAGGACTAGTTTTATGTCGAAGTTTGCAGCATTTTGGTGACCGAACCCTAATCAGAACGCAAGGTTAGGACTATCGTGAAGATTAGCCCCTAAACATAGATGCTCTGGCCGCTCTGGCCCGGCTCAATTGGATTTGAACGAGTCAGCGATTCCAACAGTCACCGGTCTGGCTAGATTGACTTAAACATATGAAATGAACTGTGTACACTGGCGCGAGTGCCGTGCAAGTCTTTTCGATCCTGACGCGAGTGCCGCGCGAGTCGAGGTATCCACCTACCCACGTCGATTATCTTCAAATCACTTTTTGGTCACCTTCCCTCTAACCTGCATGGAAACGCAGCATGCAAACAATGTTGTTGACCTAATGCTCTTCCAGTTAGTTATATTGTTATCTTGCATCTAACTCCACTGGAAACGCAACATCCAGACGACTTTCTACAAGACCAGACGACTTAACACAAGTGCTTGTATTTTTTAATCACCGTTGCTCTGAAGTCTTCTAGAACTGGGTGACTGGCAAAGGGATCAATGCCCAAGTGTTACTTGCATGGCCAAGTTCAGACCAATGCGGGGGCATTTGCCTCCGTGAGAGCACTGGATATGTGGGAACCAAGCTTCATAGTGGCACAAATTCACGTGTGGCCCATGGGTTTCAACACCTGGCCATTGGGAAAAAGCACAGAACGCACTCAAAATACAAAAGCAAGTCTAGAAAGCCACATGTGTCGTCATCCCGGCCAAAACTCGCTCAGCATGTTAGTCCCTCCTGTCACTCCTGCACCTCAAGGCTGATTGGCGGCAAAGCGTGCAGAATAAGGACTCCATTGAGTTCCCTTGAAACGATCTCTTGGAGGTCCGATTGGCATATTGACATATTGGTGATTGGCGCCGCCAGTTTGAGCATCCTTGACATATCTGACATGGCATCCATGCTATCAGCGCCTGGCACGGGGCCTATGTCATGGCTGCGTACTTCGCATGAGCTCTGCAGACATGTCAAAGCCTCAGCACCGTCCAAAACATGTGAGATACTGGATCATTGGAAAGCTGGTCACCATTGGTCGCACTCTGAGGCTCTAAGGCATGCACGGAAGACCTGCAGATGCTTGTGAGTGTTTCTCCTGGAGGTCGCCGGCGTGGCTTGCAGCTGCTAGCTGTTACCAGTGGCGCTTGAGATGCTCCACATGTTCTGCAGCCACGCCCCGAGTGAGTTGTTTAATTATAGAACACGGTATTTATGTCCGTGTGCGGGTGCCATAGGAACATCTACAGCAAGATTGTGTGTTATTCACAGTCAAAGGCGGAGAACAAAAAGCATCCAAATCTTTGGGATGCACTGGCACAACTGATCAAAATATAGAATTCTCCAGTGGCCAGCCCCAGCCGGCTCCTGCGAGGATCCTTTGAAGCATCCTGTCCTGGATGCGTGAATGGCAGTGGAAAGGCCCCGAAAATCTGTCCGACAGCTTTCGGGGGCGGGTGAGGGTCAGCCGGCGCAGCTCCAAAAAGCAGGCGAAAGGAGCATCTAACTAGCAACTAACAACCACCATGCTGTGGTGTGTCAATTGTTGCCGGGCCAGTTCCAAACGATCCGCATCTTCCGTAGAATTGTGCCATCTCTCCGTTCTCTGCGTCACAGCTTTGCCACGCAGCATGCTTGTCTTACAAGCGTCGGATGTGCGCCAAGAGCTTCGTGATCTTATGGTCCAAGATCCGGAGCTCCTTGGTCTTCGGTGCTGACGGCGTTAAACACGAAGCACCACGAAAAGGACCAGCTTGGCCAACAGTGAAGTGCATGGTGAAAATGAACAAGATGACATGAAAGATTACGTCGGCAAGTTACAAGTTGTATGACTTTTGAAAAGTCTCCGAATGCATTGCCACTTGTTCGATGGCACGCGCTTGCCCTTTGCATCGAAGAATGCCGCTAATGAACTCGTCTTGAGTGACCTACCGGCGCTGAATGGCGGACGTCTCTTGGAGCACTGGTTCATGCAACCAACGGACAGGTCGGACAGGTCATGGGTGGAGCAAACCCTGGAGATCACAGTCATCACAGGATGCAAACCCGGACATGACCAGCAGCGGACACATTCCTGTGACACCACGTGATGACTTGGTTCCCCCGGCCTCGCCGTTTCCATTGTCAAGCAAATGAAAAAGCGCCCGTCCTGCACAGTGCGGGTGCAGCGCAAAAGCAGAACAACACCGTGACCAATGGAGGAAAACATAAAACATCTCCCCCGTAAGAAGGGTCCAAGTTGGACCTTTGCATCCAAAAATGCCATGCTGCCTAGCAGCGAATCAACTAATTACTTGGCATTGCAGGCCCACTCAGGAGGGCGGCAGGCGGCAGGATGAAATCATTCTTGTAAGCTTCACTCGTGGGAAGCACCACGTGTACATGATATATAACTATATAGCTCTGATTTCCTTCCACTTCTTATTGACCGAGGCTGGTCTTGGCCAATTCAGCTCTGCACCTTGCTTGGAAACATCTCGCTTGTGATCTCGTCGAGGCCCACCAAGCATCACTATCGCTTTGGCTTTGATGAAAAAAACTCCGCATCAACTACTGAGGTGTCTGCTTTCTTGTTCCAAACATTTTTCTTAGGAGGCTGTTGGCTACCTCATATTATCTCGATTTCAAGTTAATCCTGGTGCGTTTTGTGGGCAACGTTTGTCCTTATACCTGTGTGTTTTCCCTATCACCAGCTGAAAGGTAGTCGTTGCTTCACTGCATGGAATGTTGCCAAGTGTCCTTCAGAAATATCCAATTCCAAAGTGGCAAAATACGCAGCGACCTTTGGATTTGCAAGGATCTGCGACAGCCTGGCTTGCTGGTCACGCGAAGAAGGCTTCGGTGCTTGAACGACGACAAAATTGTCAGTGCAAAACTTTCTGGATAAAGGAAGTGGCTCCATGCCCGAGCCACATTCGATTGATGTGGTGAATTCTTAGTTGTCACCCAAGATCAAACAGTGCAAGCCACCAAAATTTCAGAGTGATCTTGCTTTGAGTGCTGCAATGCAACTTTGCCGCTTGTACTTCTGAGATATGAGAAGACGCACAGGTTGCAGAATCTACTTGTAGAATCTTATATAAATGAGGCCAACAAATATCACTATCACTATCACATGATACAGCTGAGCACTAAGCCCAAGAAGCATTCCAACCTGCAACCTCTACCGGGGTCTGCACCCCCACCATTCTGAGGCAAGCACAACTTGAATACAAAAATGACGAAACCAGTGCTGGAATGATATTTTCGAGCACCCTACCATCAAAATCAAACACTGACACAGGATGCATATGTTTTGCAAGTTCTTTAGGGTTGGTTCTCTGCTTGGCCCCATGCCATAGTAAGATGTCAGCAACCGGAAGAATTGCAACAAAATATGGAAACGTCTTACATCACAAAGTCATAGCGGGATGATTCACTTGGAACTTGTTCGGTTTTAGGCCAAACATCCCTGAGCCCCCTCAGCAAAAGTTTGTTGCTGTAAAACAGTAATTCCTGTACACCTGTGGTGGTCCCTGGTCGGGAAACAATAAAACACACACACCCAGATTTTTTGAATATGCTGATTACAAAAGTCTGCCGTGATAATGGCGCAGCCTGAGCTCCCTTTGCAACGGACCTGCCTCTCCTCCGTAATAATGCCTGCGGTAGAATCAACACTCATTTGTTCGCCGCCGACGAGCCGAGCAAGCACGGCTGCAAAAGGACACAAAAAAACTAAAGCATATCACTTGAGGATTTACGCTGGGATCTTAAGCACACACAACAATCAGCAAAATATTTCTACAAACTACATGTAGTGTATGCATATAGGGTACGCGCAGCCCAGTTCCGCATGAAAGTCAGCCACCCTAAATCAACCTTGTTGACGTCCAGAAACCACAATAGTCATTAAGGGCATCCTCAAATAGTTCAGGATGATGGACTTTTGGCAACGGAATAGCGGGTTAGAAAACAATGAATTGACTTAGGCGCGGCACCCCCCAAATAACTAACCAACATCAATAATTTGGTTTCACCCAAGATCCAGGTCCGCCCTTTGCAAGCACAGTCACCGGTCCCCTCGTGATCCATGACTTTGAAAACACCTTCCTCAGTCTGCCGGCGCTCAGGGCATTTCCTCGGCCCTAGATCCATGAATACCATTTCTCCCCCACTCACACCCGCAAAGAACGCATACTGCAGCCAGAAAAGGATCAGAATTCTTTTCAGGCCTTAGGGCGCTGCTACCTTTACCCTTGCCCCCCTGATAAAGCGATGCTTAGACTCACGCGTGACCCAAGTGGGGTGTTTGGGGCGGTTGTCGCCCTAACTGCAAGACTTCAACATGGGAACTGCTTAGCTCAGCTGCTACTTTGCGGCGTTTTATTTGAAAGTTGTGACTGCACAATGTCCAAAGAACATGAAATGGGTCCACTCTCTCATGACCTCAGGAATGGCAAGAGTTGAGCCAACCATGGTGGACAGCCAACAATCGGGACCATTCAACGTGTAACCTCTGTAACCTTTGATCTATGCCTTTGAATTTGGCTCACCCATCCTTCAATCACTTCATCGATTCAAGCAGTGCCAAAGCAATTGAAGGCACAAGCCAAATAGGCCGGTCACTAGGCCGGTCTAGGACGATCAATGTGAGGGGTGACCGAATGGAGGCCAGCGCGTCCTGATAGGGAGTCTGGTGAATGCTGGCGGCGTTGGTCAGTCGCATTAATGCCGTCGTCACTCACAGGTGCCAAGAAGAAGCCCAAAGGTTGGGAGAACACAATGAAACTGCACCACTTCCGGGCAGTTTCATTGTTGGCACGTGTCTAACGAAAGCTTAAATTAAAGCCTCAAAAAGTTCCCCAAGGTCGAACAGTTTCAAATCACAAGGTGAAGATCGAGCGAGAAAACCGGCGAGTGCAAATCTGCAGACCTGAATCATGCTGCAACAGCCTGAGGACCTCTACGATTGGAGAGTGGCTAGAACATTCAGAAAATGCAGGTACAGGAAGGTGATCAGCCTTCCCCCCCCATTCATGACCGTAGCTTCGTTGCACACGGTGGGTCATGGATGCCGTGTGCCCCTCCGTGAAAAGTAGAGACCAAAAGGTCCCCTTTCACTCCAAGGGTATTCAGTTAACTCAGTTCCCCAAGGAAAGGAATGGCTCAACGGAATGGCGAAAGGTCCGAGCAAGTTGAAGGTGTTTTAACAAAAGTTGACGCGTGACTGCAGAATAGTTACTGAATACTTAGCAGACCTAGGAAAGGAAAGAGTGAACCGAAAGGCGAAAAGTCCGGGTACTTGAAGGTGTTTTAACAAAGGTTGACGCGTGACTGCAGAAAACTAGTTACTGATTACTTAGCCGTGCAAGGAAACCTGTTTTGGGGGATATCATGCGAAGAACCAACATGGAAACAAACCAACAGCGGCAAGCGGAACCAGTGGAGTCATTGCGTTTGATGCAGGTACACAGTGGAGCGTCCTCCACTGCGTCAGCACCAACCGATACCCTCTTCGTTGGAGGGGTAGTATCGGTGGTGACCCGTCCCCCTGCATTCAAAACTCTTAGTTCCAGAGGTTAGAGGTGGAACCCTTAGATACAGGGGGTGACACACACAAACCGCCGATTCCGGCGCAAGTGTGTAGAACGTTGAAAGTGGAACTTTGTACAGAAAGCGCCAATATTGGCGCTGCGTAAAACTAATAGCCACCTAAAAAGCCTTAGAAAAACAGACAAAGCAAACAAAACAAAAGCAGACTAAGAGGGCAAGAAAGAAAGATAGGGGTAGTTACGAGGCCCACTTAGTTAAACGAAAGTAGAACACGAGCGGGACATTTGTCTTAAACCGCCCGGGTAGCTAGCAATAGGCTAGGAGAAACAGAAGGAAAGGCACCAACACACAAGTGTGTTGAGTGCGATTTCCTTCTGTTTCCCGAGTAGCGGGTGGGGTAGCAACGGAGGCCCAGGGGTAGGGAGGGGGAAAAAATGCACGATTAATTCGTCCGGCCTGTGACTACTTAGCAGCACAGCACATGTGAATACTTAGCCGTCAAAACATATCAAAAAAAAATGCAAGTGTTTCAAAGCCGTCAGTTCCCGTGGTAAGGCCCGGCGGCCATGGTGGCAGTTGATTCAGTGGGTGTGTCGATGACTTCCAGTGGAATTCCGGTGGAAGGTGGCACGTTGTGTTGGGTGATTTCCGATGCAAAACGGCGCCCCAATGATGGGGATCACACTCAGCGCCCGAGTGGGACGGCTGAGCGAAACACACTCTGACAATTGTATTCAGTTAACTCAGTTCCCCAAGGAAAGGAATGGCTCAACGGAATGGCGAAAGGTCCGAGCAAGTTGAAGGTGTTTTAACAAAAGTTGACGCGTGACTGCAGAAAACTAGTTACTGAACACTTAGCAGACCTAGGAAAGGAAAGAGTGAACCGAAAGGCGAAAAGTCCGGGTACTTGAAGGTGTTTTAACAAAGGTTGACGCGTGACTGCAGAAAACTGGTTGCTGATTACTTAGCCGTGCAAGGAAACCTGTTTTGGGGGATATCATGCGAAGAACCAACATGGAAACAAACCAACAGCGGCAAGGGGAACCAGTGGAGTCATTGCGTTTGATGCAGGTACACAGTGGAGCGTCCTCCACTGCGTCAGCACCAACCGATACCCTCTTCGTTGAACGGGTAGTATCGGTGGTGACCCGTCCCCCTGCATTCAAAACTCTTAGTTCCAGAGGTTAGAGGTGGAACCCTTAGATACAGGGGGTGACACACACACACACGTCTCTGCCAAGCAGCGAGGCGATTAATGAGCTTGCTTTTCAAAGCCATCCTGTCCATGACGAGCTGCCTTGAATCGCACTCATTGAGATGAACCAAAACCAAACCACAACCAAACCAACAATACTGCATTCATTTAACGTGTTGTTTCCAAGTGGCTCTGCATCGTTTTGAGCAGCGTCCAACGTGTCTTTCCTAGGAGACGTGGCATCAGAAGGCTACAGCGGAGCTGGTCCATCCCAGGTGTTCTATGTTATTTAAGTATAAGTAAATGACTTCTAATTTTGCCCCGGTTCCAGTCCTGCTTCAAGGACTTGGGTGATGGACATACAAGTTTCTACAGCGGTCAGAACTTGCATCTAAAAGCATTGATCCAAGGACCGGCCGGCATTCAATGTGGAGAAACAGCAAGGCGACCAATATCACGAGAAAGGCCAAAGGCATGGGACATCTTAAAGCAAGCACCGGGAAAATAGGAAGCAACCACAAAGCAATGACAGGAAGCGCTGATGTAAACATATGGAAGTTGATCCAGGACAGGATCTGCAGTCAGTTTAGTCCTCCTGTTTCTCAGATTTCTGCACTGATGTTGAATCTTCAAGGTTGAAATTGATTCGTTCACCCCCCCTCGCTTCTACTCTTCCCCTTCAACTGCCTGCATATGATAATCTTGCTGCCAGCACGTGCAAAACATTAGCCCCGTTTTGACAACACTTTCTCATCCCCCATCTTCCCTTAGGCCCTAGGCTCAAATATGCTCAAATGCTTGCAATGTCTTTCGTGGTCCCCTCAAAAGCCTAGTGGTGTTCCAAAGTGCTGAGTTTCCCTGGCCACCCCTGCCCCTGCGACTGACTGTCATGAACCCACCGCTGGTGAAAGCCAAGTAGCAAGAAGATTGCGGTGATAACTCGCAATACCGCAAATACTACGATTGTAATGTAAAGGAAGAAGAATAGAGAAAAGACCTGGCATCTCATAACGCGTTCAGTGCCATCCCACATGGATGGGCTGGAGGGAGACTCCTCAAGAAGCTAGCTATCTGTCCTGCTCTAAGATCCATGTTCATCTTGCCGTCTTTAGCAACATTTGGCTTACCTTGCAACAATGACCTTGTGAGAGTCTTATCAAATGTGTCGAGCAAACCTGTGGAACAACAAACATGTCAACATGTGCCACTTTTGAATTGGACGCCTGTGACATGAGGGCCTTTGAGACTTCCATCGACCTCAAGTGCTTCAAGCAGTGCTCAGCCCCAGATTTGATGTTCAAACAACAGCAGCCGTCTGTTTCTCAAGGTCTTTGGTGGTACTCATCAAGTGGGCAGGGGAATACTGTGACAGGCCTTGATTCATGCCACTCTCCTCTCAAGCACAAACACAAGTAGATCATGTTGCCAGATCTCTTGTGGTAGCTGCACCCAAGGAATTGGTCTGCATATTTAAAATTATAGATGCTTTCTGCCTGTGGAACACATTGCGCACAGCTACAGCTTGAACAAATTCCCATTTCCCGCAGCAGCTTCCGGCCTCGCTCAATTCCACAACGGGATCGCAAAAGTGCGGCCAGTTTCCTGTGCATGCTGGATGTACATGTGGATATATAAGGAAAACC